GCGCGGGACACTCCAGGCCTCACCAGGGAGGCCCGTTGACCCCATCCGTTGCTTCTGAGGCCGTGTAGCCCCATAGACACCCATGGCTGGGGTCATGAAACCCTACGGACACCCCTGGGGTTATGGCTGGTGACGCGGCCTCTGAGGCTCTGCCCAGTTGCTGTCGGGCAACTGAAGGTTCTGGAAAACGCAAAGAAAACGGCAGTTCTCAATGTCTGGGGGGACAGGAGCTCTTCCAAAAGGAGCAAGGAGGGTGGAAACCTCCTCCCGGCCCCCTGAGGGTTTCCATCTCCTCCTCTCCCGCCGTTGGCCACACAAGGAAGGCTGCAGAGAGGACAACAGAAAATCACTGGGAAACGGCCCGGGCACACCAAAGGTTTGGCCAGCTGCTGGTTCCAGAAATGAGGAATCCACTGGAAACACAGGATCAGCGAAGAAGTGCCCTGTAACGCTACGATTTATTTAACACAGCCGGACAGCGTCCACAGGCAATGAATCACACAGGGGACAACACAGCTGCAGGAGACTTCCATCCTCTAGTTCAACCTGTACAGCTTAATATGGAGCTTACCTCCATATTAATCACCCGAGAATGCAATCTAACACACTCTTAAATACCTCTCGTGATTATGCTTCACTTACCCCCTTGTCCTTTTGCAGGTCACTCTGTTGCTAATTGCACTTCTAGTTAGGAGAAAAAGTGTCTACTGTCTAATTTAATTTTGTCTTTTTTAGTTTCAAGCCGTTGCTCCTTGTTATGCTCTCTCTAGCACTGTAAATAATCCCTCCCCCTCCTACATATTATTACCTCTCAAATATTTATAGACTGTTATATCCACCCTTAGTCTCCTTTTCTACAAGCCGTACATCACTTTTGTCACCCTTCCCTCTATCCTTTCAGATTTATCTATGTCCTTTTCATAATGAGATGCTCAAATTTCTTTTGCAGTGTTCCCAAGTGTGGCCAAACCAAGGCAGCAGAGAGAGGCAGTGATACCTACCCCCCCAGCATTATTTTTGTTTTTTTTTTTTGCAAGTAAAGCCTTTTTTAAATAACTCTGAGCAAAACCCCAGTGATTTCTGTAGGAACTGACTGTTGCAGAGCCATGGCTGATACACTCCTATGTACAATGCAGGGCTGAATCAAACAGAAACAAAAGGAGACAGTTATGGGAAAGTCTAAGCCTAAACCAAGGACAGACTGTTCACTCCAAATCATTCCCTGAACTTTTACCTAGACCAGTTTCCAAGAGCCGCGTGCAAAGCTCGGAAAGCTGCAATGCAGGCACAAGATCTGCCTCCAGCAACTGCTTCCCAAAACTGCTTCCCAAAATGAAGCCTAAGCTGTGTTTTGGAAATAATGGCAATGACAGACAGGTAAGGATGTCCACAAACTCGTTCCAGCAGCCACCTGCGATCACGGCTCTTTTCCTCTCACTCTAATAGCAACAACATAGAGAAAAACAGATCATTACGGATGGAAAGATATTAGTCAATCAAAAGACAGAAAGAATCAATCAATCAATCAAACAAGACTTTGTTTCACTTTCGTGAGTTAGGATTGCATCCCTAGGCTCATAAACGCTGATCAGTACTGAAGTTAGATTAACGACATGGCAAAATTCAATATGTTCAGTTAAAAAGTATGGACATCACAAAGAGCATCAGAAACCTAGAAAACACGATGTCCTCCAACTATAACAGCTTTTCTTTTTTTAAAAAAAAAAAAAACTTATAACTCATGCAGCCCAAAAACAGAAGCAAGTGTGTGGCATCAATTTTTGAAAATACAATGCAGCATCGCAGGAAAGACCAGTGGAGAACAGAATACCTATTTAGGCATAAACATGATGAGAAGGTAACAAAAAAAAGAAAAAAGAGAAAGCAAAGGAAGGGAAAAAAAGGCAAGGCAGGGTTTCCAAAGAGATCAGGACTCTGAAGACCATCTCTCATTAGCCATCATGTTACCACTGCTGCCTCTATGGTCCCTACTTATTACTAGATAAAACCCCAGCAGTCCCACAAAGTTTCCAAGTGGAGGAAGAACCTACCTAGAGAAATGTAAAAAGCACACTATTTTGTTTCCACCACTCAGAATAAATGTAGCAAAGGGAAACAACAACTGTAAACTTATTACTCATAATTGCTGATAATAATATGTTTGACCTGCCAATCAGTGAGACTATAAAGCTATGTAAACAATGATGCTTTTACGATTATACAAAAAGACATCGAGTAGTGGAGTGCCACATAATACTGAAGTAGAATTTGGTATTAGGAACAGCTAATTAGCTAATTAGGTATTAGCAATTTTGTGTATATTGGATGTTTCTAAATCCGTCCAACATGAGCATGGAGCAGCACAAAGACGAGCACCTCACAGTCATCCCGGCAGCTCTTCCCTCCCCTTTGCCAAATGCTAATGATAAACCTTCATGTGGGATAAGGACAGCATAAAATGGAGGAAACACAAACTGTTGTCTTTTTTTTTTTTTCCTTCATCTTGAACAGCTCTCATTCTAAGGTTCTGTGTGAGCACATTTCTTTTTTTCTTATTTCAGTGATCTCTAAATATTAAAATTGCAGTGATATCAACCTCGGGTGGAACCCAGAGAAGTCTAGGTTTTAAGAAATCTGAACTGAGAACAGCTGAGATGTATGTTTTAAACATCTCACCACAGTCTTTCCTTGCATTTTACCCACTACATAACCTAATCAGAGGCGCTTGCAAAGGCAATAGCTCTGCTATGCCCCAGGATCATGACTATTTCCTGTACTGAACAATAAATGGCCAAAACTTTGAAAACATCTGCAACTTCTCTAGGGAAAGTGCCCAAAAGTGCCCTATAAAATCCGTCCACAAGAGGTTCTGGGCATGTCCTGTGGGTTCTCTTAACCAACCACCCTGATATTCCTCCAAATTCCAAACTGTGGAAGATAAATTCCTCTGAAAGTAAATACAGGTTTCCAAACCCGAAACAAAAGGAAAACTGCTGCCATGAACTGCTAAACTGTGCCAAAAACTGCACAAGCAAATTGCTACTGCCAAAATCTCTGTGGTGCCATAGACAGGCACCACTTTGCCTACCAAACTAGGACGCTGAAACACTGGCAGGATAAAAAAAATTCCTCTGACAGAGTCATCTCCCATGTTCACCGTTCCTCTGTCACCATTCCCCAAATCCTAATTGCAATCCTGCACTGTCCTTCCTCCCACTTCAACTAAAAATATGATCTCTCATTATACTTGTAGCTGAGGAGAAAAGGAAAATAACCAAAAAAAGAAAAAAAAAAAAAAAAAAGCAAGAATCCTGCAAGTGCACAAGTGCACACACCTGAAACAGTCTGATTCTTACGCCTGATACTCAGGTCAACAACTGCACGTCACATCCCACCACACAATTCCTTCACTAACAACAAGCATGGCAGAAAAGCAAGCTACAGAATTTACACACAGATACTTAGGCATTTCTAAGTTTTTTCGGAACAAAAAGGCAGTCTATGCTACACAGGCTGGAAAACTTTAAATTTTTCCAATATTTTCCAAGACTGGAAGAGACTTAAATGCAAAGTTTGCACTTTTACACTTGACAAAGTCACTCTGAAAGCCCACCTGAATGCACTGCAACCAAGCAGTTGCAGACACTGCACATCTGTCGGTGGCATTAAATGCAAACTCATGAGTTCTTACACTAAATTCAACAGACGGACTTAGCGAGCCAGGAGTCCATGCAGTGAGTGCAGTCACTTCCAAGCCAACCATGGACTGCTGCTGTTATTCAGGCGCTTAACAACAAAATTAAGAACACAATTTCATATTCTTTCCCAGATTTGTTCACTTCTGCTAAACAAGGCTGACCTTGACTTCATTCCTGGTTGGAATCAAATCTTCCTTCTAGAGATGAAGCTGTGTTATTTTCACTGGTGCCACCTATTACATTTTGTAAAATGCTTAAGAAAAAACGTTTTGTGTTTCTAACATAGAAATAGCCTCTGTAAGAACAATGACTACAAATCTTTTACAATTTTTTAAAATAAAAACTTCTAAGCCATTCAGACTTTAAAAATTACCAGTTTTCATATTTTCAAGTCTTTCTTTATTCAAGCACAATATTGCCTTCAACTTGTTTGCTGAACGCTAGTCTTTAAAAGGCATTCACTAATTCAATTTAGTAATGTATATCAAAGCAGTGTTAATGAAGTACCTGAACGGACATTTTTAACACATTAAGATCAAAATTAATGAAAATTTAGCTGACTATAAGAAAAAAGAAATTTTGACTGTTTAAGTAAGGATGCTCTTATTCTCCTGAGTTAAACAGGAGGCCTAACTCCTTGTATGCTCTGTATTCTATTAAACATAATAGTTTAACATTTACCTATTCTTTTCCGTGTCTGTAGACAAAGACTGCAGTAATCCAAAAATTAAAGAATTGTGTTGATTCCCATATGACACTAGCTACGACTACAATAATGAAAACAAATATACAAATAAATACCTTTTTTTTTTTTTTATTCAGCAGTTCTCCTAAAAGAAATTCTTGTGCATAGATCTGAAACCACCAATCTACCAGACGAGCCCAGGAATTAGGCTTTAAGGGGCCTAGAAAAGGAGCAATGGTGTTTGGTGGACATGCAGACGCAGTCTTCTTTTGCCCATTTTAGAAGCTTATATTCAGCCAAAACATTTTGCTGTCAGTATTACTAACCTCTGCATAGATTATTATAAATAACAGAGATTTCCCTTGCAATTTGTTTCCCTTGCTTTGCAATTTCTCTGGGTAACACAAACCAAAGATGCCAGTTTTGGGGCTTTTCTGCTGCAAAGCCAACTGTTGTGTGTCTCGGGTGTGTGCAGTATATATAAAAGCACTGCTGAGTGCTCAGCCCCACGTTTTTACCAGTTTTGCACGACATGCACCCCATTCTGCCGCTCTCGGTGCAATGTGGCCGAGGCCGCAGAGCGGAGGGCTCCATGTCCCGCCGTGCCCCTGATGTACCTGAGGCCGTGGTGGCTGTGGTGGCAGCGGTGGCCGCGCTGGTGGCGTGCGGGGGGCTGCCGCCCTCCCACACGAGGCAGGAGCCGCTGCCGCCGCCGCCGCCGCTCTCCTTCTTGACGAAGAGCTCGGTGGCGCTGGGCAGTGGGATGGGGTGGCTGATGCCCAGCTCCTCTTCCTGCGCCTGCTGACGCCTCAGCGCAACCTGTGGGGCAGGAGAAGGGGGCTCAGGGCGCGCTCTGCATGTCCCCGAGCGGGCAAAGCGGCTCCTTCCCAGCCCCAAGCATGCCACGGAATCGCCGGCACCGTGCACGCTTCCCACAAGGAGCCCACACCACCAAGCTGTCCGTGCTGCACAGGCCCCCTCTGCAAGCCCGACTGGCCCCGTGCTGCATGGCAAAACCCTCACCCAGCTGCAAAGAGGCAGGGGAGGCTGCAACCCACCCGCGTGCAGCTCTGCGCTGCGCCACGAGGTGCAGCACGCGCCACGCAACCGGCACGTGCCCTGCGGGGACGTGCAGCCTCTCGAGGCGATTCCCACCTTGCACGGAGTTACTGCCACGGCAGCAAGCTGCAAACTGCTGCAGCAAATGCAGGCAGCGACAGCCTTGCAGCGGCCCAGCAAGGGGCACGTGCATGGAACGCACATGGGCACCCTGCACGTGGCAGCGTCCCTGGTGCAGTGCCGGTGCCACCTGCAAGCAGGAGCTCCCAGGAGGCTCGAAGCACTGCTCTGAAAAGCCACATTAAAAATAAATGAATAAATGAATAAATGAATAAATGAATAAATGAATAAATGAATAAATGAATAAATAGGGAGGGTAATCCACGTGTGTTGGTGTTTTTGAGATTGGCCATTTTTAAGATTTGCCACCTGCAAGCAGGAGCTCCCAGGGGGGCTCCAAGGAGTGCACCGAGAAGCTACATTAAAAATAAATAAATAGATAAATAGATAAATAGATAAATAGATAAATAAGTAAGAAGCAGGGGTGGAGGCTGATCCATGCCTGCTGGTGCTTTTAAGACTGGTCGTTTTTAAGATTCGCCAGCGAGCCACTTGTTTTCCGCGGGATTTGTCGAGTTACGGCAGCACAAAACGGGTCAGCAGGTGGGTCTGCTCTCACCCTTGACTTTTCTTCCCCTCTCCTTGCCCCGAGCCTTCCCGTTAATCCGTCGGGGGAGGGGAGGCGCGCGAGGGCGCGATGCCGCCCGAGCCCATCGGCTGCCTCGCTCCAACTCCTCGCCAAGGAAGGCTGCAGCGCTTGCAGGCGCTGGGAATTCCGCTGCCTTCCCCACTGCCGCGCAGGGCTGCCATTCCCCTGCCTCGTGCATGAAGTTTGCGCTGCGGGGAGCTGCGTGCACGCGTTTGCTCGTGCTGCTGAGCCCCCGTTTGCACCCGTGTGCAATGCTCTTCCACGGAGCTGACGCATGCAAAGGCGAGAATGGCTTTACGACACTTAGAAAATACCTGTCTCCTTAGAAGCGAGCTCGGCTAAAGGCCACCTAAAATCGGGAGAAGTGGACATAGCAATCAAAAACTACCAGTGCAGAACCAGCCGCTAAGCGATAAGTCGATTATTTATTGACTAGTAATCGGGTGCAAAAATAAACTGTGTATTGCTGCTGAAAGGAAAACAAAAAAAAAAAAAGAAGAAAAAAAAAAGTTTTGGTGTCACCGACCGAAAGCCGTGCACGCCTTCCTGCAGAAGTGTTTTCTTGCAGAAACGTGCCTTTCGGGGCTGCAAGCGGGCGTTCGCTCTGCACGCTTTTGCAAAGGAAAACACCCTCCGCAGTCAGCGCACCGCGCTTGCAGTGCTCGTGTTAACGCAGCGCGCCTCGGTGCCGTCTGCGAAACGCCGCGTTCATGAAAAAATACTACAAAAAAAAAATAATAATAATGAATCACACGAGAAAGGGAGTTGCAGAAAGTCCCATGTGAAGCGACCCGCGGGCTGCAATTGCGCCGAGCGGGGCGGCGCGCGGGACAAGCTGTTCCCTGTCCTGGGTAGGGGAATTTGGGGGGCTCGCTCTGTGCGGGGTCGCGGGTTTGGGGTCCCTCTTTGCTGGCTGTGGCCTCGGGCCGGGCCACGCGGCGGTGCCGCCTCGAGGAGAAACGTGCGCGCGGGGCCGGCGCGAGGGAAGGATGCAGGGGGGAAGGGGGGAAAAAGGGAGAAGGGAAAAGCGGGCAGAAGGGAAAGAAGGGGAGAAGGGGAAAGAAGTGTGAAGGAAAGGGGGGGAAGGAGGAAAGAAAAGGAAAAATGAGAGAAGTGAAAAGAAATGAGAAGGAAAAGGAGGAAAAGAAATAGGGAAAAGGAAGTAGAGGGGGACGGAAAAAGGGGGAAAGCAAAAAGGGAAATAAAAAGGAAAAAGTAACGGAAAAAAATCAAAAGAAAAAATAAACTAGAAGAAGTAATGAAAAGGAAAACAGGAAAAGGGAATGAAGTAAGGGGGAAAAAGATGCCAAGAGGGATAAGAAAAAAAGAAAAGAGAAAAAAAGAAGAGAAAAGAAAAGAAGAGAAAAGAAGAGAAAAGGAAAGGAAAGAAAAGAAAAGAAAAGAAAAGAAAAGAAAAGAAAAGAAAAGAAAAGAAAAGAAAAGAAAAGAAAAGAAAAGAAAAGAAAAAGACAGAAAAGCGGCGCGCGGGCCGGGGGCGTCGCGGCGGCGGCGCGCGGGCCGGGGGCGTCGCGGCGCGCTCACCTGCGCGGCCATGACGCGCTGCCGCTCCGCGATGAGGTTGCACTTCTTGCACTGGCAGTCGCGCCACATGCAGAAGCGCTTGTGGCCCTTGAGCGGCGACGAGTAGCCGTGGTTGCGGCAGCGCGCGCACTTGGGCAGCCGCGGCGACTTCTTGCCCGCGCCGCCGC